CAAGAATTTATAACTTTCAAACATTGTATCATAGAAAAGTAGCAATAATCATCACCATCATATTTAAAATCTCAGAACTTACCATTTACATTTTCTACTCTTTGACTCTCTTTTCTTTAAATATTTACTTATATAATATAAATATCAGGCAACAAAATTATATATCAATACCTTGTCATAACACATCTAGCTGTTAAGGTACATTTTCATATAATGTCGAAATATACTTTAATTTAGAACCAGAAAATTTAAAGAATATGTATGTATCTACGTGCAAACCCACAATAAAACAATTTATACCTAATGGCATCTTAAAATTTTAAATTGAAATTCATCCCTTTAATTCTGTCTTCACTATTTCTTTGTTGCTTTTTTTCACTTTCCATTATTTAGTTTTAAGATTTATATATAAGGAGTAAATAATTTAAACTCAGATTAAGTGGAAGATTGAAATCTAATTTCAAACTCTGCCTTTTCTCATAATTGTGTACATAACTTATTGAAAATGTATATATTTTTTTCTTATGTATCTAAATGTCAATAAAAGCAATAATATTATTATTATTACTATTATCACCATTATTACTATTACCATTATTACTATTACCATCATTATTATTATTATCATCTATAATGTAACCTGACAAACCGGGTCCTAACCTAGTTTTACAAATATTTACAACCTTGGCCTAAAATACGTCTAGCAGATACCCATGAAGTGATTTTTGTAGGACCCCAAAATTTTGCTTAGAGTTTAATGTAGCTGTAATGGAGGAACAAAAAAAGTAAACACAAAAATAGATTAAGAATAGTTTTATTTAAACTTATTTCTTATAGCGAGAAGTTAACAATAATGTTTGTTTAGTTTAACATAACACATGTGTGGCCTTTTCCATGTCTCATTTCTAACCGAAGGAATATTAAGCTCCCTTAAACCGGTGAAAGTATGATGACAGTGCTACAGCATATTTGTTATCCCTTTATAATGCACAACCATACACACTGCTAATATAATACCTGCATACGTATTGTCTGATATAGTGAAGTTCAGCGGTATCACGAAGAGTATGGCGCGATATGAATATGGATATAATTATGTAAATAAGAAGTTTAACCTCATCTTGCGTAACACCTTTCCACTGATATCTCAATACCGTATTTTACGATTGTGCTCAGTACTGCATATATAACAATAACTTGTACGACAACAGAACACCTGATATAAAGGGGGATACCCGTTAGGCCCGCTTTTGGGGTATCTTTTCTTAAGATCCATCCTATCCTCTATCAGGCTTCTATGTTCTCAGACGTGAGAAATTGTACCATTTTCTGGCCCTACTATTGAGGTTCCCCACGTTCTATGGGTGGCTTAAGGCTCTTTTTCGGCGCAAGGCTCTTTTGCTCTAATTACCGACAAATAAATGCTATAAATGACAGCTCCGAAACCACAAGCTGTAGTCCCACCTCAATCTCACCTCATTTTTCTAAAAGGATAACAATTATACCGGAGTTCTATAACGTATGTGATAAAGTGATGCCCAGATGAGCCTAATATGTCCGTTTACCAAAAATTATAGTTACCCGCCTCTGTACATATTCAATCTTAAAAAAAAACCCAAAAAAGTAAATTCTCAACGTTTAGAAGTAAGACATGACTTTACCCACTTTTGCATCATACACAATGAAAGAAAATATTATTACCGTAATTTACTTAACAATAGGACTCGACAAATAAATATAATATAATTCAAACATCTGTTTACCATCTAAATTAACGCAAAAGACGACAATTTATAGCCACAAAAGCAGGTTATTGGTTTCCCAAACCCTAAAATAATAAAGGGCTTTGACATTTGATTCTTATGGTCATAAACCAGAAGGGCTTAGTTTATTAGTTGTTGTGGCGGGATTTACAATAAATGATTTTTATGACCGGGATTCTAATTATTAATTTTTACCCTACGAAATAAAATGAAATGCCCTGACAATGAAATGAAAAAATTACCCACATAACTTAACAATTACAATTTACTAAATTTTACCTAAATAAGAATGGTTTCCCCTTCAAACACATAATTAATTACAAAATGATACCTGTAATAAAAACATGCTGCAATAACTGCTCTCCCCCGGCTGTATACATGGCTACTATACAAAGGACACTAGGTAGGAAGGTGCGTCGAAAACGCTAATCTCGAAATGCGTTCTAGAACGGCGTTTCCGCGATTCAAACCGATAATCGTAGCGTCTAAAAGAAGATACAATTATCGCCAAAATCTACGTACGGGGATCCACACAACAAAGAAAAAGATATCATCGACAAAAGTAGAACGACAACCGCAATACTTTTAGTTGTTTTCCACAAGTTTTATACGATTGGATCAGAGGTACTAAAAAACTCGTTATTTCTTTATCTGGCGTCGTCACCATAGGCACCGGTTCACCAAGACAAGTCACGCAAAGAATCCAATAACTCGGAAATACAATCCTACAAACCCCTTAAAAGAGAGAAAAATTAAGCGCTTTTAAAACGGCCGTCTGTTTGGTTACCTTATAGGTAACACATAACTACCTCTCGATATACAAATATATAACGAAAGAAGTCACCTTAAAGGTAACGGTGTATAGCGCAACAGAAGTCGTTTCATACAGAAAATAATTTATCTGCTCCCTCGATATCTTTTACTGCGTTTTCCAAATATAACAAAAAAAGCTGTCACCTCATAGTTAAACGAGATAAACCATTCAATATACTCAAAGCCCATTAACGCGGTTCTGTCGCGTGGTCATTTAAAAACATCAAAAGTATTGCCGCGCGCGATCAGTCGCGCGCGACATGTCGCGTGAGTGGGCTTTCCCTCTTACTTTTGAGAACCCCGTATTTATACTTTAATTTTCCCATTTAGTCAATGCATTAGACAAAGAAAGATTGAGAAACGGGCCTACTCAACTTTCACGTAAAATAATACCCAGAAAAACAGCTCGAACAATATACGGCTTGCGGGCCGCCCCCTGAGTTCGAGTTTGCCTTTCAACAATTTACACCCGATGAACAAAAGACGTGCAAAATAGAAAGCGATTGATATTTCCTCGAGAAACGCAACAAACTATTTAAAGAAAATAATAAAAAAATATCAGACCCAGGGGCGTCGCGTTTCACTACCATTATCATTTTATTATTTATTGCATATGTACAGCTACGCAATCAGTATATTATATTTTAATCTTATAGTATGAGAGACCACTGCAAATTTCGACCGTCATCTGATAACGAAATGAAATATGCTCCAAAAGCATGTAACAACATTGTAGTTTACCAAATTGCACCTGTGCCAATCCCTAACCTGAGCAAAGTGGTTAAAAAAAATTATTTTATATTCAAAAAATCACATAAAACATGACAGCGACAATTATATTTTCCCTGAAAATTACAATCCTAATTCATTGTGAACCTAGCTTTTAAACCTGAATTATCAATATTTTTACCTACCTTTTAAACCATGTTTATGTATGAAAGGAAGAAGGATGGCATTGTATAAACCATTTGCAGAGATAATCAATAATAATTATAAAATCTTGTTAGACAATTATTTTAAACCATAATCATAGTAGTTTTTTTGTCGTTTCTATGGCAACCTGTGAAAATGAATCACAACAATAGGCATACAAATAAATGTTTAAATCAGCGAACATTGATTCATATTTTTAATGATATTTACCTACTAATCGTGGATAGATGTTTTTGTGCGATGTTAAGAGGAAGAAAATGTTTCCCTTTAACGATATATATCAAGATATATTTAAATAATATTTTCTGGAAAACTTTAAGGGCAAACAAAATTAGCGCTGTCATGCCTTATGTGATTTTTTTAATATAAAATAATTTTTTTAAGCCACTTTGCTCAGGATTGGGATTGGCACAGGTGCCATTTAGTAAAGTACAATATTTTTCCATGCTTTTGGGGTATATTTCATTTCGTTATCAGATGACGGTAAAAATTTGCAGTGGGCTCTTGGGCTATTAATGCATATGAAACAGTGTCGAAATTTTTGTAATGACTTCAATATAACTAAAGCTTCGAGCTCAAATGAATAATTTTGCTAATTAAAACTATTTAACCAGTAAAGAAAATGCACTTGTTTGAATTCAAACAATCACCCTGTATTGATTGAATTACTTGTATTCAATTTTGTTATGTTCTTATCAATGATATTTGAAGGAATCAATATATCGTCTAAATAAATACTTATTTTTTAATCTCACATCCCCAAAACATTAACTTTTACTTATTTGTTGGGAAAATAGCAAGAAAACGTTTCAACAAAATCTAATATTTATCTGTATACCATTTTGTCAGCGATTCCAACATGAATTACTTGTTTTGCGTTCTAAATCTGCACTGTACTAACCATTTTGGCCATATGGAATAATAATTCGTGTCTTCACTGCTTGTGTATAAATCGAAAATTTTCGATTTTCACTAAAGTTCTCACCAATTAATATATTGATATTAAGAATACAATATTCAACAAATAATAATTCTAACATTTATAACGGTAATGTTACTTCATCTATGGTTACATACCATCGTATTTTATGGGATACTTTTATTTCGAGCCGCCAAAAACTATTAATATTATTCATTTTATTATTATGTCTATAAAGTATTTCGCTGCTTTGGTTTGATACAAAAATACTTCTTTATCTTGATTTTATAAATCTATTTATCTCTTCGTGTTAAAGATTCGTGCTATATAAGAGACATTAAAAATAAAATTTACGGAAAAACTTACAATTTACCATCGCAAATAACGTGGAACTAAATGGTAATGTAAATCATAAAATACAAACTTAAATTTTTTTTTACTTAAAATCGTCAACCTCATTTTTTTTATAACAGGAACTTAAAATATAACCTGTTTATCGTATTTCGTAAAAACTTACCGTTGGTAATGATAAGCCATTGTTTAATGTTGTCAGCAACAAAAACCGTACTTACGTGATTATTTTAATTCCTCGTAGATCTGTAACTTCATACTTGTTAAATAGGACTTTTGTTCCCTTGAACTTAGGAAGAAGTTTGTGACTTCCTCTCGTAGCTGACTCGCTCTTAATCCTGACCATTACTAGATCGTCTTCGCTTTGAACTTAGGAAGAAGTATGTGACTTCCTCTCGTAGTTAGCTGGCTCGTTATCCTAGATCGTCTTCGCTTTGGACTTTAGAAGAAGTTTATAGCTTCCTCCTGTAGCTCGTTCGACTGATTTTGTCGTATCATTTCTCTGTTAAACCATCACTTTTTTCCCACTTTCTTTTACCCATGATATAATTTTCTAAATAAACCGATAAAATAATTTAAACTGATTTTAATATTATCCCACCGCTGCTTTGTAAGAAATAATATAAAATTATAATGAAACACGATAATAACGAATATGTCTTGACTGACTAAAATCCAAAGTATCTTAAAAAAGGAACACTCAACAATCAATAGCGTTAATATAAACAAAACTGCACGTGTGCAGAAATATAGTGGTCCCTTTGTTAAAGAATCCATATAATATTACACAATGCTCAAACGTATTATAACACTTCATCATATTCCTACACTTGATTGTAGAACTTGTTTACAATGGCCTTAAAACTTGCATATATGTTCTAAAAACTCCAAAAATGGATTCTTGATTGTAGAACTCGTTTGCAATGGTCTTAAAACTTGTATACATGATCTAAAGCCTCCAAAAATGGATTATTGATTGTAGAACTCGTTTACAATGGTCTTTAAACTTGTATATATGATCTAAAACTCCCAAAAATAAATTCTTGATTGTAAAATTCGTTTACGTTATTGGTAAGTGATCAAAAATTCTTTATTGTAGAACCCTTGTCAAATAGTATTGATTGTAAAAGCCGTCTTGCACACATGATCTAAAACCCTAAAAATGGATTCTTCATTGTAGACCTTGCTTACGTGATTTTGATTTTAGAAACCGTCTTGTATACATAATCTAGAACTCTGAACATGGATTCTTGATTGTATAAACCGTCTTATATTTTCACTTTTTAATGTTATTCTCCAATTGTGCCTACATAAATATATTCAAATTAAAAAACTTCACTTAAATATTGATACCATTTTTTTTGTGATTTAATTTGTATTTCGTATATCATGGAAATATTTCTCGAAGAAATTGAGAACATTGCCAAGAGATATGAGAAGAGGCTCCACAAACACATTAACATTAAAATTCTTCAACTTTTATACAATCAGAACCTTCTGTCCCACCTTTCTATCTCGGCGCTCTACATTACGACGCATACTTCCTGTCGCTCCTACGTCCCGACGCTTCTCGGACGTACGGTTGCCAAATATTCCCACACAAGCAACTCTCTCAAACAACAATATAAAAATATATTGTTGTATTATGGGAATTTCTTATTCAATAATAATAAGTCTTAGTGTGAAACTCATTATTATTCAATATTTGAGAGTTATTGTATTATTATGGAATTTATTAGTCACTGATGCCGTATTTGGACCGTCCATATTGATGTTTATGAGTCTGGTGCATTGACTTTTCATTATTAGCTAATAATTTAACAGCTTAGCTGACTGGGGTAAATGATACTTTGGGCGACTAGACTAACATTTTACATAAATATGCTTGATGTTACTGTAGTGTTTTAAGTAATTATCTCTCAATATTCACATCGTAGGTAGATCTGAACATAAGGGGGAGTTCGCTGGTACTGATCTGGTACTATTCTAGTAGAACTACACTACATAAACCCCCTTTGGGATAGCTGAAACATAAGGGATATCCGTGTGTTAATGCAACGACTGCATCCCAGTAAGTTCACCTGTATATAAAAAAAGAAACGACGAAACAAAGAATTATGTAAGACAGTGCAATTCTGTATATCCTCAATAATTCTTCAATAGTATATATTTGATAGAAAGTGGCTTGTAGCCTGTTTATTTGGACGGGACACATGTGAGTTGTCAGTGAAAAATATAATTTCACATTCCATAATTTAAAATTATATACGCTATTTATTTGAGGATAAAATACATGCTAGATATTTTTGGGCATTATTTCATTCAAAAATTTGCACCAAACTTTTGCATCGGATCCTGAATTACTTTACAAATTAATTAAGCACAATGTGGATAATAAAATAATCTTATTAAACTAGACAAAAAAGACATATTACAGAAAGAATAAATTACCACAGCTTATACAATACAGCTCCACAACTCCGTGTCGGCGTCTTTGATCTGGCGGTCGAGAACCAAGCAAGACGGAATGGTGCTATCTCTGTTAGATTCGAGGGAAAAGTCGGGCCCGGATTAAGGCCGCAGTATCACTGTATTTCTCATATAAGAAGCAAGGGTTCACCATTTCGGATTGCATTTAAATCCCGCTAAATGAATTAAAATAAATCTTCTACCAGCTTAAAGTATAAGGTTTGGAGAATGAAATCTCCTATTTTTTATTTGTCCTGTTTATACACTGAATTTAAAAAAAAATCATAAAAAGTGATTTTAAAACCAGAGGCTAAAAAGTAGGAGATTTCATTCTACATATTTTTCCAAGTATCCCGCCAAAATATTTCTAAATTTTATTGCGTATTTTTCAAATCTAACTGGAAATACGATTAACAAATATTTGATAAATTTATTTGTCAAATTAGAGATTTTCTATGAATTCCTGTAATTGTGTACAGTTCATGTAGTTCATCTATTTTTAAGAAGATGTCACCGTAAAAAACAGTATAGCTATTCTACTTTAGAGATGGTTTTAATAGGTAAATGATTGTTTAGAGGTACCAATTTTTGAAACAGTGATACAGGTGTATGCCGTCTTTTATTGTTTCGTGATTTTCATATATATTTGTCTCGTTTGGTTCCAAATTATCGATTGATTTTGCCTGTGTATGAACAAGTGTTGACCACGTTGCCAGATTATCGATTTATACGATAATTTCACAATTCTTCCTAGGACGAATTTGATTTTAAAGTGGGTGAAATATACAATAGTGAAATGCAGGAAAGGGAAGGAACTTTATTGCATTCCGATGTAAATTAAATCCGAATGACCTGGCATCATTGTATGATACGCACGTAATATTGGCGGTCTTTGCTTTTTTCTCCTGAATGTTATTTTATCTTTATAAGGAATCTTATTTCTGAGTTAACACGTTGACTGCTATGTGTATGTACCCATGTGTATGTCCTATTAGTGCGTAATTGTTCAATATTTTAATTTATGTTAAAGACACGCAAACATGTTTCAAAAAAAAGTTATATGGATTTAAAAAATACATATTTTAAAAATATTTTTAGATATATACAGGGTGCTACATTTTTGCTTAGTATATTTTTAAAATAGAACATGTATTTTATTTCAATTTTAGAATGGTTCGGTAATACTGTATTCAACCTTAGAATAATTTAAAAAAATATTACAGGTCTGCCAAGCAATTAAATTTTTATAAAATTAGAAAATAATGCAGACCCTAAATTAAATTATCATAATTCAAAATTGTTTAATATACTGACTTATAGCACATTAAGATAACGAATAGTAGTACCAACATGTTAGAGAATAACATATATACAGAGTGTCTCATCAGTGCGTAATTGATCGATAGCTGTTTTATTATTAGAAATAAGAAAAAAAAATAATATAAAAGTTATATGACCATATTAAAAATTATTCCTATATATACAGGGTGGTCCATAAACGAGATGTTGACCAAACCTATACATTTTTAAATCAAAACACCCTGCAGGTAGTTATACATATTTGATTGTTTTCACGTCGTCAAATAATTTTAATTGACTTTATTCATTTGCTATGTTCTATATAGAGTGTGTCAACACGCGAGGTTACAAATGCTTAAATTTTTTTCAATGGAATATTATATTAATTGGTGGCATAACATACAAGGTGTTCCATTTAGAAAATTAAGAAAATCGTGACCATTTTCACACATCCTATATACAACATAGCAAATGAATGAAATTGAAATTATTGAAACGATGTGAAAACAGTCAAATATGCACCTGCAGGGTGTTTTACTTTAAAAATGTATAGGTTTGGTCAGACAATCGTTTATGGATTATCCTGTATATTTATAAATAATTGTTAATTATGGTCATACAACTTTTATATTAATTTTTTCGTATTTCCTATTATAAAACTGCTATCGATCAATTACGCACTCATGGGAGTATATGTATATGTATATGTGTTATTGATATCGTTGGATATGTTAATTTATAAGGAATTGAATGCTTAAATAATATACAGGGTGTGGCATTTGAAAAAAATTAAATAAATTTAACTTGGAATTAGCCATATTTAAGACTTCTTTTCAAAACACACTGTAAAAAATAATCCAGTTCTATTACCACTATTCGTTAGCTTACTATCTTATTACTACATTTAAAAAAATTTAAATTATTTTAAACCTACCTAAATAATGATAATTTAATTTGGGGTCTGAATCATTCTCTAATTTCATAAAAAAAATAATTTATTGGCAACCCTGCAATTTGTTAATAAAATTCTAGGGTTAAATACAGCATTACCAAAGCATTCAAAAACTGAAGTAAAATACAGGGATTTCTTTTTAAAAAATATACCGTTTTATTTGTCATGCAATGCTTTTTTATTAATTTGTTGTTTAATTTGTATTTAGTTATTAATATTTCAAAAATCCTTATTTTTCTTATTGATTAATCTAAAATACGTAATTTTTATTTATAATTGAAAATAGTACTGGAATTCTAAATTGACAAAAAAAGTAGAAATATGAAAACATAAATTACGACTCTACAAATGAAGTAAAATTTTATGATTAATTTCTTTTTTCTTACAAAAACATTATCTCAGCAATATGTCATAAGTTGCATACACACAGTAGGTCTATGTAAGTTGATAACAAATGGAAAACTTTTTTATTATTTATTTTACGAAAAAAAGTTATTCTTCATAAAAATTTATGCATGGTCTAACAGAAAATGCAACCACCCGATAGCAAATTTTATCAGTCGGTTTTACAAGGTTTGTCAAAAAATATAATTTTGCTCTCAAGATAAAATACCTTTATTTTCGAC